CCGTTTAATACAGATCTTTTTTATTGTTGATTTTTGATGTATAGCAAAAAATTTTCTGATATTTAGATATGGAAAAAAGTTTCCTTTTTTCAGATTATTTACGTATTAATAATACAGAAATCGTCATATTAATCGTTGAAACTCCGTACGTAACTGGTCTTGGTGGTCATGCTAGGTTCGTGCGAATTTGACTGTCAGTTTGTATGAACTTGGTATGCAAAACCTATATTTTGATTTTATTAGTGAAACTAGCTTCGCTAAAATTAATAATTTTTATTTGTTGAACCATGACCTACGAATTGAGGAAGAAAAGAGAGTAAAAGAAAAAAAAGAGAAAAAAGTGAATAAAAGAAAAAAAAGAGAATAAAAAGAGAATAAAAGAAAAAAAGAGAAAAAAAGAGAAAAAAAAAAAAAGAAAGATAAAGAAAAGTAAAAAAATCTAAAATATAACGGATGAAAAGTCAGGATGCGATATTATCGTAAATATCTATAAAATAATAATACATAGTATAGAATTATAAACGTTACAGAGAATGAATAATATATTAAATTATAATTTAAAATAAATAATCTATTTCTATTTTCTAATATGCGAATTTGTTCAGTTAATCGACCAGCGATCAACCTCTTAATATCTTGACACATTCTAGTATACAAAGTAACAATAATATCGCCTCCTGACTCATCAGCCGCATCATATGCCCCTTTTGCAATTTTTTGTTCCAAGACCCCAACAAGAATTCCAAAATCAAAATTTCCTCTTCGAACTACTGTTAAAAACGCATCAGCTTCTTCTCGACCTAAAACGATCAAAAATTAATAACATTAAATAATAAAAAGATCATAATAAGTAATCATACCTATACACATACCTATACACTTATAATACCATGCTTTACATTGAACCACGAATCTATAGCCATCCATATCCACAATAATATCTCGACCTCCATCACTACTCGCCCTAAAAAATAATTTAATGAGTATATATTTCATCGTCATACGTGGTTGGTGCCAACATGTATCTTATTCATCATCAAACCCCCGGGCAACGCATCGGACGGGGTCATTGACAACTGAGAAGAACGATCACTGCCGAAACAGTGGCCCGATGTGCTTTCGATTCTCAGATAATTTACGTCAATGTGACAGCGTAACTTCGGATACATAATGACTCGACATAACTCAGTAAGAAAACTCACCCCGTATGTGTAACTATCGCACCTAGTTCTTCAAAATACCTCGCCAACAACTCACAACAAAACAGCTCAAATCTCCTTCCTAATGCATATGACGACTCGCCTTTAATACGTACGAATTCTTCGATTTCAAAATACATTTTATTTGAACAAATAACAATTTGCATCAGTGAACATTGAAAAAAGGCTTTTATACTTTTTATTTTATACATCTTTTACTCCTTATTTGCTGAGAATATTTTGTTAAAAAACGAGTTTCATTCATAGAAAAGATAATTACTTATAAAAAAAAAATGCTAAAATCCCATTTTTAGAATGTATCAAAACCCCTTTATTTATACCATTTATGCATACATTAGTTATAGTAACGTTTATCTATCGGCACCAATATCGAATTTAGTATAAAACAAATAAAAAAATGGCACTTGTATTTGTGCTCGTCTCACAAATAGTTATGCATGATAAGCCTTGCAAGGTGATACGATAACAAAAAATGTTTAAACTACCCATCATTATCGCTTACATATTCAGATTCATATCGTCTATCGCTATATATTCTTTCCACTACTTTTTTGCATGTCTTACAATATAGATGTGAATGGTGATCGCATTCGTCACAAACCTTACACCCGTGCTTCCAGCCTCTAAAGATATGCCACTTTTCAAAGTAAATTTGTTTTTCTTTCATCGTTATATATTAACAGAAAAAAAAATCTATACGTGGCTAAAATTTTTTATTATACAAACCGTAATGTGTGGCACTTTGTGGTCCAGAGTGAATTCTCCACAATAGAGTTAATTGACCGACTTTGGTTAGTGTTTTAATTTCAGCCGGGGCGCCCCGGTCGAAAAATGAAAAATGACACTTTGAGATTGTGACCCATCTCACAAATTAGTTATGCATAACAATACAGATAAATTTCATATGCAGAATTATTCTAACACATCAGCATATTAATGACGAATAATTTTACAGCAAGATAACTACGGGATTTTTTTATATTATAGAATACAACAGATACTAATAACTACGGGATAACTATGGGAAAATTGTGGGATAACTGTAGGATTTTTTTAATTAACAGTAAGACGATAAGACTTTACGTACAAATTGTTAACCCCGATTTATTTTTATTTAACGCTAATTATTCTGATCTTTCATCGTTATACTAACAGAAAAAATATACGTGGCTAAAAATTTTTATTATACAAACCTGTGTGGTACTTGTGTTGTGACCCATTTACAAACAAATTATGCCTCAAGGAATTTCTATGATACGTTATCAGATTGAACGAAAGTGATTTTTTTTACGTACTACGCATACTTAGATAATTTTATTCTATAACAAATACAGTTATAGGTAATACAAAAATCATGGAGAAAGAGTGTGAACCGAGTTCACAGTATCATGTGACTTGTGGCGCAGTAAAATCAGAATATAAAATTCTGATGGCATGAAATTACCGTTACTGCTTATTTTTTATAACCGCAACTACTATATGTTCAATGTTATCTTTGCTTAGTTTCGAAATTGTTGAAGCAGAAATACTTACTCGTTGTATCAATTGCTCAATCATGTTATCATTCCCACCAATACTATTAAAAAGTTTATAAATTTTTCGAGCTTTTTCTGTATTTTTTCGAAGTGTTGTCTCAGTAACCTTTTGAGAAAGTTGATTCCTAACTTCGTCATTAACAAGCATCTTGGCAGTTTGTTTCGGATGAAGAGTTTTATAATAATTTAAACGATCTTTGAGTGCTTTTCCAAAATCATAATAACACCTAATAATCTCTTGATTCGTTTTTTTATTTTGATCTTCGGCGTTAACAATTTTAATATACAAGTCAAGAAAAATGATCGGGCTTGTGTTTAATTCGGAGGCTGATTCTGTTTGAGCAATAGTTTTTACTGGATCCTTAGAAGATAATTCTTTTATAAGATCTTTTAATATATGCGATTCTTTCTTAGTCTGCTTTTGTTTCTTACTTGATATTTTATCTGTTGGTTCACCAACACGCTTAGATGGTAAATTACTTGTAGTAGAGTCAGGTATGCCAGATTCGGAGTTCTCTTCTACGATTCTATCTAGATTTGTTAAAGAATTTTTACTAAATATTACTAGGTCTTGTGATCCTTCATCTATGCTCATACTTCTTTGTGATGGAGCCCGCATTAGTGGTGACTTTTCAATGATTTCGATTTCCGCACTACAATTATTGATAGGACATGTAAACATAGTTTCTCTAAGGTTCTCAAGACAAAGACGGTGCACAATATGACCACATGTTAATACAGTGAATGACTTTTTAAGTATGTGCAAAAAAATTTCTTCATTGCATATAGAACACGGATCTAGTTCAGGAACTTCAACACCGCTTGCAATAGTTTCGGAAGAGCCATTTTTAAGAATATTTAATGCGAGGGTTTTAAGGCATGTAATATTCATACTTACAATTTTTTGCAACCCGAAAATGTGTACCAGGTTGCTGCTCCGGTGATCATGTGACAGTCCGGAATGAATATCCGGAAATTTTTTGAAGTTTGATTTAGCACATATTTAATTTTACATATTTCTTT